AATGTTTCAGTAAAAGGCCATCTTGAAGCATCTACTTCTAGTATTTTCAACACTTTTCTATGCTGTTTCTGTTCCCATTCACCAGATAGCCTTAGAAAGACATTGGTTTTGGGCAATGCGAGAGGATGCAGAATGGGAGCCTGGCTGCCAACTCATTTCCCACTGCCGTTAATTCACGGAATCAGAGAAAAGGAGATGGAAAATGAAAAGCTGTGCTACTTCTGGAATGTTGGGGAATTTCTCCTCCACTTCAAGTAATTACATGGAATTTTCTCACTAGTTTCTCTGTTCACTAGTAGCATGGAGAACTATAAGAGGCCATTTGTACATAACTCTCATTACTTAGGAGCCATTTCTAGAATCCTGCTATTTATCCATGAAGTGATTTCCAGAAAATGTCAAAGTTCCAATCACTGAACTATTTACCCTTTTCTTTCTTTTTAGGACAGCATTCATATACATTCACACACACACACACACACACACACACACACACACGCACACACACACACACACATTATCTTTTTTAAAAAATACATTTTATTAGAGTTTATAAAGAGAAATACAAAGATTATTGTCAAATATCTATTTTTAAAATCCAAACTAAAACATTAATCTCCGCCCACCCACCCGCCGCCGCCAGTATTCCATCAAGATAAAGTGGATGGGACTGCAAGCCAGCAGCCCATGCCCAAGATGGAGCTAAGAAGTTGACCATATCCATGAATTCCCTTTCCAGTTTCCCAAACTTACAGAGAACCCAGAAGAGATTCATCAGGGCAGAGCAGGTGTTGGTTTGCCAATCCGATGTTTGCCCACTCTTCCCCACCTCTGACTCTCAGCTCCTTCTACTTCTCTCACAGACAAAATGGAAATCATCACGACTTTTGCAGCATGCATGCTTCTATCCCCACCCCTGAGGAACACCCCCACATGTGGCTGCAGCTACCACTCAAGGATGTATAATTTTATACCTTTCCTTCTGGTGAACTATTCAATGTATCTATGACCCTCAGGCACATTCACTTAGAGATAATATTTGATGGTCAGAAAGGCAGCTTTTCATCTGTTATCCTCTTTCCCAGCACCAGAAACCCCTCTGAAAATGAGTAGATTATTTCACATGATAGAGAGAAGATTCAGACATGAATTGCTGTGAAAGATTCATTCTAGGGAAATAAATAGGAAATCACCCCCTCCCCCCGAGGACAGTATTCCATCAGGATAAAGTGGATGGGGCTGCACACCAGCATCTCATGCCCAAGATGGAGCTAAAGCATGTACACACCCATGCACACAAGCCACCCCCTAGGTAACATGGCCTATAAAGAGGGGAGAGTGCCTGGGCAGCATTGGGTGCGTGAACATTGGGTGCGTGAAGGTGAAGTAGTCATCCTGCATGAGATAGTACCCCCGGGTTTCTCCATCCTCCACCAGTCACAGACTGTGGGTTGGGGGGAGGGGAAGCATTGTTAATCTGGGAGGACTGCTCTTTCAGGGCTCTGCCAGCACCATCAATCTCCCGCATTGAATGTGTTGGCCTAGTGTGGGGCACCAAGGAGAGGTTGGCTGTCTGGCTGGTGTACCAACCACCTAGTGCACCAGCAGACACCCTGTCAGGCCTGTTGGATGTGGTGGCGGGCTGGGCCTTGGAGTTCCCTAACCTACTGGTTTTAGGGGACTTCAACGTCCATGCTGATGCCAGCCCCTCCTCACGGGCTCTGGACCTGGTGTCTTCCATGGCGACATTAGGGCTCTCCCAGTTTGTTTTGGGTTCCACACACCAAGCAGGCCACACACTGGATTTGATTTTTGGTGCAGGTATAGATGTGATCATGTCCTCACTTGTGGAAGTGCCAAGATCTGATCACTATGCTCTGAAAGCTAGGGTTGACTTCCCACCCCCACCCTGCTTGGGTGGCGAGCCTATTTGGGCTCGCCCGCAAAGGCTGATGGATCCTGATGGATTTCGTCAGGCCTTGCGGGACCCTGCTCCCCTTGGCAGCTCACTAGATGAGCTTGTCAAGAACTGGAATAATCGGCTCTTGGTGGCCATCAATGAGATCACACCTAAGCACCCTCTGCGACCCCGCCAAAACCGGGCCCCCTGGTTTACCGAGGAGCTCCGGAAAATGAAGCTGGACCTCGGATGGCTAGAGTATGGCGGTGCGCTCGTGACGGAGCCTCAAGAACATCTTATAGGACACTTATGAAAGCCTATGAGATAGCAGTGAAAACTGCAAAGTTTTAGATCTCAGCTTCCATTGCATCTGCTAGCTCTCACCTGGCACAACTTTTTAGAACAACCCTAGAGGAACAGCCCAATTTAAATACAAATTTGACCCATAGCTGTGAGGCTTGTGCAAGTTTTTTGCGGACAAAGTATTGCTGCTCCTCCATGACCTCCCTGCCAATTTGGATACAGTAACAGAACTGGAGGCCCCTCGACTGTCCTCGGGTCCAGTATTGGACCACTTCGATCAGATACTCCCTGCTAATGTAGACAGATTCCTCCAAGCTGGAAGGCCCACCACTTGCCCCCTTAACCCATGCCCTTCCTGGCTGATTAGAGTGTGCCCAGACGAGGTGCGCCCCCCCCCGGTGAAATCATCAATCAGTCCCTTGGCATGAGGACTTTCCCAGGGGAGCTGAAGGAAGCAGTGGTACATCTGCTCTTAAAGAACACTTCTCTAGATCCTTTAGATCTATCCAATTACCGCCCGGTTTCGAATCTTCCATTCCTGGGTAAGGTGATTGAGAGAGCAGTTGCTGAACAACTTGGTGGATTTCTGGATGAAACATCGGCTCTGGATCCATTCCAATCCGGCTTCCGCTCTGGTCATTGGAACAAGACGGCTCTGGATGAAACATTGGCTCTGGATCCATTTCAGTCCGGCTTTCGTCCTGGTTACGGGACCGAGACGGTTTTGGTCACCATAGCAGATGATTTCAGTAGACAACTGGATCGAGACGCGTCAGGACTGCTGATTGTTTTAGATTTGTCAGTAGCCTTCGATATGGTCGATCACAAACTTTTGGACCACCATCTTGCTGACGTGGGGATTCAGGGCACAGTCCAACAATGGCTTTGCTCCTTTATCTCAGGTCAGGGACAGAGGGTGGCTCTAGGGAGGGAGTTGTCGCCGTGGCACTCCTTGGTGTGTGGAGTCCCGCAGGGCGCAATCCTTTCCCTGATGCTTTTCAATATCTTTATGTGCCCCCTTGCCCAGATTGTCTGGAGTTTTGGGCTGGGTTGTCATCAACATGCTGATGACACCCAGCTTTATCTGTTGATGGATGGCCGCCCTGACTCAGCCCCGGACACACTGACCAGATGCTTGGAAGCTGTGGCTGGATGGCTGCGTGGGAGCTGGTTGAAGTTAAATGCTTTGAAGACAGAGGTCCTCTGGCTGGATCGGGATGACATGGGGTTGGGGGGCCAACTTCCATCTCTTGTGGGGGCTGAATTAGTGCCAGCGCCTTCTGTCAAAAGCTTGGGTGTAACCTTTGACGCGTCCCTTTCCATGGAGGTGCAGGTTGAAGCCACAGCAAAGGTGGCATTTTTCCATCTCCACCGTTTCAAACAGTTGGTCCCTTACCTTTCTCGCCCTGATCTGGCCACAGTGATCTATACGACGGTCACCTCCAGGTTTGATTATTGTAACTCGCTCTATGCAGGGCTGCCCTTGAAGCTGACCCAGAAGCTCCAGTGGGTGCAGAATGCCACGGCAAGGCTCCTTACGGGGTCCTTGCCATGGGATCACATTAATGCAGTGCTTTACCAGCTGCACTGGCTCCCGGTGGAGTACAGGGTCAGGTTTAAGGTGCTGGTTTTGACCATATTCGTGAATTCCGTTCCCAGTTTCCCAAACTTACAGAGAATCCAGAAGAGATTCATCAGGGCAGAGCAGGAGTTGGCTTGTCAATCTGACGTGCCACTCTTGACTCTCAAGTCCTTCTACTTCTCTCACAGACGAGATGGAAATGATCAAGACATTTGCAGCATGCATGTTTCTGTCCCCTCCCCCAGGGCACACCCTCAGATGTGGCTGCAGCTACAAGTCAATGATGTATAATTTTTACATCATTCCTTCTGGTGAACTATTCAATGTACAGTGGTACCTCGGGTTACAGATGCTTCAGGTTGCAGACTCCGCTAACCCAGAAATAGTACCTCGGGGTAAGAACTTTGCTTCAGGATAAGAACAGAAATCACGCGGCAGCGGGAGGCCCCATTAGCTAAAGTACCACAGTATCTCTGACCCTCAGGCACATTCACTTAGAGAATATTTGATGGTCAGAAAGGCAGCTTTTCATCCGTTATCCCATTTACCTCCCACCAGAAACCCCTCTGAAAATGAGTAAATTAGTTCACATGATAGAGAGAAGATTCAGACATTAATCGTGGTTGAAAATTCCTTCTAAGGATATAAATAGGAAACATTTTTCCAGCATAAAATGAACGGGGCTGCACCCCAGCAGCTAATGGCCAAGATACATACCCATGTACACAAACCACCCCCATCTAGTATGGCCACCCCCATGCCACAGGGCCTCGATCCCTATTCTAGCAGTTTCTACTGTGAAACTGGGTAGAGCAAGTCCATTCACCCTTTTGGCGTGGCAGCATTGCAGAACAGCAGAGGCTTCAGTAAGGCCTCAACGAGGGAATTGTGACATCAGTGCTCCATCCAAATAGGTGGCGGAGGCATAAGCTCTCACCACCTATCAAGAGTCGAATCCTGGCCTGCACCCCAGATAGGCAAATGGTGATGCAGGCTCGGACATGGGCTGGGTCAGGGGGGCAGAACCGATGGAGCACGCAGGCTTCCCCTGGGGCCGGTCCCTGGTCATTTAAACAGCCCTCACCTGGGGCCCTACCTGCTTTTCCTTCATCGGGTTCTGTCTGCCCTTTTTCACCTCGTGACCATGGCTGCACCTTCAAAAAAAACAACACGAGATCATTGCCACTTGTTTTGCCTCACCTCGCCAGAGCAAAATCACACCTGAGCTGAAATCACTTTAAGCTGAACCAGTTGTGAAGTCATTGCTGTGAGGGTTTTGAGCTCCAGCTCTGCCCGGCCTGCTGGCTTCACAAGCAGCAGAGTGGTGCTGGAGCGATCATCAGTGGCATGGCAGCAGTGGCATGTGCATTTGGGCTGCAGGGCAGCAGCGGCGTAATTATTTTGGCCAAGGAGCAGCAGCGGCTCGATCATCCTCAGCTAGTGAAGTCTCCATTGTGCAGTCTTTGAGTGTTCGGCCCATGGGCTCAGCTAGCAGGAGTGGCGCTACTTGCCTTATCAAAGCAGGTGATTGGTGGAAAACAAGAAACAAGAAGAAAGCGTCCTGCAATCGCTCAGCGCCATTTTAGATGTTTTAATTTTTTTTAATGACTTTTTAATGAGTTTTATAGTATAGCTTTATGTTTGATTGCTGCATGTTTGTTATATATATGTTTAGTTATTTTAGTGATATATACAGTATATATATTCATATACAGTGGTACCTCAGGTTACATATGCTTCAGGTTAAATATGCTTCAGGTTACAGACTCCGCTAACCCAGAAATATTACATCGGGTTAAGAACTTTGCTTCAGGATGAGAACAGAAATCGTGCTCCAGCACCGCGGCAGCAGCAGGAGGCCCATTAGCTAAAGTAGTGCTTCAGGTTAAGAACAGTTTCAGGTTAAGAACGGACCTCTGGAACGAATTAAGTACTTAACCCAAGGTATCACTGTAGTGGTATACAAATATTTTTATAAATAAGTAAATAATAAAACAATACATTGCCATTTATTACTGGCATCTGAAGTTTTATCTCTCATTCTTTATGGGCTCTGTAACTTCAGAACTGGATAGTTAACTAGTGAATATTCCAATATGATTTAATGAAGAGGAGACTGGCAAAGAGGTGGGGGGAAATTGTTGAAGAAGAAGGATGTTCTCATATTAGTAACAGGGTTTGACTGATTTGTATCTATGGTTCTACAAATGAGGTTTTTAAACACCAGTAATGGCTAAAAGTAGCAGTGGCAAACATTTTTTTAAAAATGTAAAAATGGATTTTAAAAATCCCTAAACAATTTTTCTTACTAGAATGCCCAGCACTATTCCCACTACTTTGCCCTCCATGGGAAGTGTCTTGGCTTGTCATGCCAATTATTATTCCTTCAGAAGACTGGATCAGAGGTTCTTCCAAAGGGCTTGGGAATCTAATATGGATTATCTGTAATGGACTCCTATATTCTGAAGGCTTGTTGTCAGGGGTTCAGGAGCAGAGGCAAGGGCAAGGGAGGAAACAGAGAGCGAGGGGGAGGAGGCAGAAGAAAAGATGAGTGATGACGACGACCCGAGATCTCCGAGTCTTTCCAGTGAATCAGAAGATTCACAGAAAGGAGCACCAGTGGCCAGGGCAAGGGGGGAGCCTAGGGGGACACCCCAGGAAGATAGAGCCAGAGGGGACTCAGAGGGGAGCAGTTCCGTAGAAGGTGGCTGGAGGGTCCAGGACGAACAACGTCTCCAGAAGGCAACGAGGGAGAGACGGACATGGACTTTTTCGGGGACGACCCGGGTTTCGAGCACGGCGGCACAGAGATGGAAGCGGAGGTGACCGTCGTCAACGACAGCAGGGAGGAAGAACCGGAAGACTTCAGATGGCGGCCCGCCACGGGAAGCGAACTGTATCCGACATTCGTCCCCCTGACACGGCAGCACCCAGATCCCGCACCGGAAGGAGGGGAGGGGGGACGAGGGGGCTTCGAGGGGGGGGATGGATGTCAGGGGTTCAGGAGCAGAGGCAAGGGCAAGGGAGGAAACAGAGAGCGAGGGTGAGGAGGCAGAAGAAAAGATGAGTGATGACGACGACCCGAGATCTCCGAGTCTTTCCAGTGAATCAGAAGATTCACAGAAAGGAGCACCAGTGGCCAGGGCAAGGGGAGCCTAGGGGACACCCCAGGAAGATAGAGCCAGAGGGGACTCAGAGGAGCAGTTGGAAATCGGGACCAACGTCACCGCCAGAGAGCAGGGAAGAGGAAGGGCGCCAGGGATCAGCGCTGGCAGCTCACAGCAGGGGAGGGCACGAGTCAGGAGTGGCCACACCTCCATCGGGAGCGAAGAAACGGTCAGACGGAAGGTGGAAGGTTGGGCGCGCGCGCCAGGTTCAAATGCACAGGAAGGTGGCGCAGTAGGCAGCCCGGAAGGGAGCCAGGTCCTAAAGCCCGCCGAAAGGAGGGAGAAGAGTCAGGGAGTCAGCGTCAGCGTCAGAGGAATCCCGGAAGGAAGAGACCCCGGGGGGCAGAGGGACCCAGAGAAGAACAGTCAGGCGGAAAAGGTGGAGCAGGGCTAGGATATTAAGTTGGTGTACAAGGGGCGGAGACTCAGCCGGAGCTTCGCCGATCTAAGCATGAGACGTAGAGTTGCACGCAGCAGCTTGAGAATGGAAACTGTAACTCAATAAAGACTTTTGTTTAATGATCGCTGGCTAGCGTGATCCTCTGTGAGCTAGGATCTGGAAGCAGCTCTGACACTTGTCAAAACTACAATGTCATCTAAAGTAGCAGAAGTTCTATCCACACGTTGCTTCCGCATTCTGATCTGTACTGTAGGCCTATATAATAACTGCCAATTATCACTACAATTATCACTTGCCGATCGTATGGTCTGCGGTTCGAATCCCCACGGCGGGGTGAGCTCCCGTCGTTCGGTCCCAGCTCCTGCCCACTTAGCAGTACGAAAGCACTCTTAAGTGCAAGTAGATAAATAGGGACTGCTTTATAGCGGGAAGGTAAACGGCGTTTCCATATGCTGTGCTGGTGCTGGCTCGCCAGCTGCAGCTTCGTCACGCTGGCCACGTGAACCGGAAGTGTCCTCGGACGGCGCCGGCTCACGGCCTCTTGAGCGAGATGAGCACGCAACCCCAGAGTCGGACACGACTGGCCCGTATGGGCAGGGGTACCTTTACCTTTATCACTACATTGAGATACCTTCCAATAACTCTCTGAAACAAAGTACATAATTATGGAATTATGGAATTATGGAACTCAATGAGTTTCGGGGGGGTAGAGATTACCTGTGGATATCACTTGTTATTCTTGCAAAGGATTATTGCACCTGAACCAGGAAGCTGCTTCCTGATTCTTTTTCATACATAAGAATAAAGGGGGGCCCTTCAGAATACCAGTGTGTGCTTTTCTATGAGTATGTGTTTTACCTGTAGTGAAATGAGCAGAACAGAAGGTGAGAGGTAGCAGGGTGCCAAATTCTGGGTTCACAAGTCTGCCCATGGGTCCTAGGAAGGGCTTCTTCCGGAGCAGCCTGTGATTGCCTGTCTCCTTTAAAGCAGGTGGGCCTGTGCCTTCCCAAAACTTGACATTTTAAATTTAACAATCCTAAAATTATTATTATTATTCAAAATACAGTAATCAAATCAATAATATTTACTATGAGTTTCCTTGTTGAGGAATCTACAACATTTATGCAGTCACTGAAATTTACTTTCCCTATTTATACATGCTTAGAAGGAACAACTAGGCTTTGAATCATTTTTATCTTTTAAATTATATTTTATTAAGTTTCAACATTTTTAACATATACAGTCAAAACACAGTTTCATATTTTATTTTTTCCCATTCCCCCCCATTTTCCATGAAGTTGTTGTTTCTCTCCTTCTGCTGCACCCTATCTTCTACCTACCAAATCATAACCACAATATGATCTATTATATTTCTAATCTAATCTAACCATTTCATTTTTTGTCTCCCATTCTAATATCAATCAGTATCAATATCTATAACCCAAGGTACCACTGTATAAACACATTTTTAAATAACTCATTAATTTCATAATATTGAAACCAATCCATTACCCATTCTTGCATTTCTTCAAACTTTTCAATTGGCATACATTTCCAGAAAAATACAGTATGTCTCTATATCTGCCTCAATTCTCCATCATATTAAGTTTCTTTTGTGTACTAGTTTCTATAGGGGATAGCCATAAAAGTGTTTCCCTTCTGTGATGGGATGATGAGCTGCTTGTGCGTAAAATCGTATCCCCTCAGAGTTTGTTCAAGTCCACCAACCTCTGTCTGTGACAGAGCCCCTCAGACATGGCTCCTCTAGTCACTAGCAGATTCCGACAGTGGTTGCTTTCGTAATCGCTTCCAACATAAAAGCTCCTTAACGGAAACACGTCTTCTGGAATCTCTGCGTGACAGTTTCCGGCGAGGAGTGGGTGTTCTTACAGGAGGTCCTGAAACCTCCCCACTATTTTCGCTGGAAGTGTCTCTGAGCCATCCCTCCAGCTCAGCTCCTCTCCCCTGCTGGTTCCCTCTTCAGCTGCTGCGTCTCTCCCAACCTGTGTGAGCCCTTTCACCTCCCTGCTGGTTCCCTCTTCAGCTGCTGCGTCTCTCCCAACCTGTGTGAGCCCTTTCACCTCCCTTCCGTCCGATGGCAGTTCCCTGACATCCACCTCCCCCTCCAGGGCCCCCTTCACCCCCTCTCGCCCCCTCCTCTACGGGCGGTGAGGAGGCAAAACCCGGAATGAACTTCCTTCATCTTCCGATGTCTCGAACACTTCTCTCAACCTGTTGCGGTTCCTGGTCTCGAAGTACACCTCCTCCTCAGAGTCCATCTCCCCTTCCCCTTCCGAGTCCGGGAATCCTTCCAACTCCTCCCCTTCATCAGTGGTCCCAAAGTATTCCCTCCGGAACCTCTCCACAGGCTGAGGTTTCCTTGGGAACCTTTGATGGAACGTTTCTATCAATACCTCGTCATTGATATCTTCGGCCATTACCCAAGTGTTTTCTGACTCCGGTTCTCCTTCCCACGCTACCAAATACTCCACCTGATCCCCCTTCCACCTGGCGTCGAGGATTTCTGCCACATGGCTGCTGCATTCTCTTTCTTCTACGACCGGTCCCCGAGTGGCCAGCCCTTCTCGTCCCCCTTCGTACGGTGACAGTAACGACCTGTGAAATACTGGGTGCAGTTTCATGTGGTTGGGTAACCGGAGCCTGAAAGCCACTGGGTTGACCTGTTGAATGACCTCAAAGGGACCCAACCTCCTGGGTCTTAATTTCTTACAACCTCCTTTGAACGGCAGCCCTTGGGTTGACAGCCACACCCTATCTCCCACCCTTATGGTTTCACCTTCCCTTCGGTTCTTGTCTGCCTGCCTCTTGTATTCTTCCTTCGCCCTTTCTAAGTTGAGTTGGAG